CCTGATGTCAGTAGAAGTGTGGGAAACACTGATATAGATGACTCATCCTGGCCTGTATGAGGATTAGTAGGAAGATTTTTGGATATTGAAAAACAGTCACTTTATTGAAAAGTATAAAATGAAATCTTACTTGTTTTGCATTAAATTTCTAAAGCAAAGCAAATTTATTCTGCCTGTCAAAACTGAGGACTGATGCTTTCCTTTAAGATTTATTCTGTATCTTTTTCATGCTCATTTCTTGGTCTCTCCTCTGGTTGCTCCCTGGAAGGACCCAACGCTCCTCCACAACTGGGAGGGGGAAAACAAATTAGGGCTACCCCTGACAAGGGGCAGGCTGGTTTGGAAGGGGTGAGGACTGGCAGGATGCAGCAGTCCACAGGTGTTGCCTTCCCATGAGCAGTTCCTGATCCCCTCTCCACCCCTCACCCCTGATGCTGGTCTCCCTGCTTCACCACAGCCACCACTGCAGCTTCCCCTTGGCCACAAAGACACATGCTGGATGGTTATTTGGAGAGTTACTTCAACAGGCTTTTGCTCTGAGTTTTTTTCTCTATTTTGGGTTTCCTTTCTTTTTCTTTCTTTTTTCTTAATCAATTTGAAAATGAAGTAAAGCCAGAGCTGTCAGAGCAGGCCAAACCCATGGAAGAATTGCTTTGGACAGCTGTGCTTGATATCAACTTGTTGTGGGATGAATACAGAAGATGAGCAAAGAGGATTGTAAAAATGCTCAAGGGACTTACAGCTGGGGTGTCAAAAAACCACATATATTCCACTAATTGCTGTTTAGCCTTTTATGCTTGACAAGTAGAACCTCTGTGCTTAAATAACATAGGCTTCTGATAAATTCAGAGGCACCCTATCTAACACCCTTGAGATTCCTGCCTTGCTGTGGCAAAGATCAAAGCACAACAGTGGAAAGCCATGCCTGTAAAAGATCCGTGATATTCAGGCAAACACAGCAGGTTCAAACCCCCTTACTCTCACACTAGCACGAGCCAAGCTCCATGGTGCCTGCGCTCCCACTTGGGTGCCTTTGCCCAGGTGCTGCTTCAGAGATCCCCTGATTCAGGAGGTAACGAGAATAAATCTTCTCTCTGTGTCTCATCTGTGATTTTGTGGTTGTTCCTACAACCTTCATGTGTCAGCTCACACATCTGTGAATAGTATTTCCAGAGTAAACTTTGGCATAAGCATTCTTCAGTTCTGCTGTAGCTATTCTGAAGTTTCATGTGGGATACAAGGCATTTGACACCAATCCCGGAAATCCACTCCAGAAACCAGACTCTGCATAGCTGAAACCCTACCATGTTTAGTGCAGTTTCCCAAAAAGTACAGCACAGCGCATGCAGACAAGGTGAGGTGAGACTAGCTATGAAAACAGCCACAACTGTGACTGGGACCTGTGCTGCACATCACTGCTGCCTCAGTCTCACAAGAATCTATTAAACTTTTTGGCCTACAAGCAATCCCATCTTGGGAGGATTTTGTTTTCCCTCTGTTAAGTTTTCAACTAGTATTTAAGACTTTACATTCACTATTTTATTCATTTCCATTTGAAAATAATCTATGTTAAAAATTATATTTTTCTACATTTGTTTAACTTTTAGAAAAATGCTAACTGGAAGAAATACTAGAGGGCTTCAGTTCACCAGGGGCATAATATACAGCTGACCCAGTAACATGATGGCAATAAAATACAGATTGCTCCAAAATGTCACAATGCCAAGGAGAAGAAAGAGGATATTCTGACTCCGCAGCTTTCTTCCTTTACCTTAAAGACTCTACCTTTCTTTAAATAGTAAGAATAAAACAAAGATTTTGTTTGTTTGATATTTTCTTTTTACCTTTTTTTTGTTGAGTAACTGTTATGGTTTAAGGGTTACCAGCCTGAAAAGGAAGGACAGGTGGTGTCTGTAGGACCCTGGAGGGTCAGAGATCAGTACTGTTCCCTCCCGTTTCCAGCCACAGTCTATAAAAAACCGTTGTTTTCGCGGGCGTTTCCTGGGCTGCTTCCTGTCGCATCTCGGGACGGCTGGGCCTAGCTCCACGTGCTCGGCAGCATCCACCACCACCCGCTCCCGGCACCACTGTGGTCGCTGGTGACGAGTCACAGCAGTCGCAGCGGCCACGAGGCACTGCTCGGACATTTCCACTCGGGACTGCTGGGATTGGGTTTTGTATATAATTATCCTTTGTCCCTTATTAATTCCCTTTTCCTTTCCCCTGTTGTTTTCATTAAACTTGTTACAGTTTTAACTTCCAACCTTGTGCGGAGCAATTTTTTTTTATTATTATTATAATTCTCTCTCTATTCCCTTTTCTTAATCCTCCCCCTGGGAGGGGTAGGGGCAATAGAGAGAAAATCCTGCTCGCTCGCTCGCTCTCTCTCTGACCCTTAAACGGAGACAGTAACTATGTCTGTTCAAGGGTCCCCGTTTTTAATGGGTCTTGTAGACACTGTCTCAGTACAAATAATTTCTATTACCACACAGATGGCCAAAAAGTAATTGAAATCAAATGCTGGTTTATGAGCTCTTGCCATCATCTCTGAGATCTTTTTTCTTTCAAGAATAGTTAATTTTTCTTTTGGTTCCCTTCTGAGAACCCAATAGCCGTTTATTGATAAGAAGCATGCTCATAGAGAGCTGAAACACTGTTTTGCCAAAATACACATATAAATTCACCTACAGTTCTTATTCCTGTCTATAATCTCACTTTGCCCTCTAGTGCCTATTCTGGTTTTTTCCTGCATTGCAAAGTACCCTGAAAGCTGACTGAAATTATGTCAAAACATTTTTATTTGGTGATGAGATTTTTAAGGATAGTTATGAACTAAAAAGAAAGCTTAATGGTATGAGAGTTTCGAAAAATCGGTAGGCCATGAATCAACATATTCAACTGCAGACAAGCGAGGTAATAAAAACTGGGTTCCTTCAAGAGAGAGCAGCTGAAAATATTTCATGCCGTTTCCAAGATTCAGTAAAAATTAGGCCATCTCAACATCAGTTTTACTGCATTGCAGAAGCCACCTAGGATATCAGAACTAGAAAGATAAGCAGGCTGAATGTCCTTTTATTATATAGGCTTGAAGAAGTGCAAAAAACAAACAAGCAGCAGAAGTAAGATTTGAAACAGACTCGCAGTGGGGCCATTTCAAGTGCTGTTAGTTACAAAGCCCAAGAAATACACACTTTGCTGTAACACTTTTGGCAGGGTGTCACAAGGCATAAAAATGGCTCTGATGCTCTACTCTGCGTCTTTAGTCTTCTTGTTCTGGATCACGGCGAAGTTGTCAGCTGCTTTTACTCCTGGGATTTTGGCTTCAGACTTCATACCTATGTCTCTTGTCACTTCTTTAGCTTGCATCCATGAGTGGTAGAGAGCATGTACACCCTGCAAAAGAGACCTGTGTCATAGATCAAGTACACCTGAGATCTGGTGTACCATTGCAATTATTCTTAACAGTCAATTTTCTGTTCAGATACACCTTTTTTATTATCACCCCTTTGAATGACACTCTTCTGAATGCCTGGATGTCAAGGAAAGCATTAAAGTGGCTCCACACATGATGCTTAAACCAACCTCCAGCAATTTCAGCCCTCTGGGACTAACATCAATCTCCGGGGAGCCACAGCCACACACTCTCTCTCTCCTCTGCTTCCTTACATCAGACCCAAAAGTCTGTGCCAAATGTACATCAGCCTTGACAGCAAGAAATAGCGCTTTTTTTGCAGTTGTTGGCTTTCTACCAAATTTTTACCAACATTCATTAGGTAACAGAGCCTGGATATAACTCTGTTTTCCTCCTTACTAACATACAGCAAATGACTAGGGAAAACACAACTATTTGAAATGGAGTTACCCAGGGACCATTTCCCAAGGATAAAATCCAGGCTTGACCGCACAGAAAGTAGTGGATTTTTCCCCAGTCTGATGAAAGTTGTTTTAAAGAATTTTATTGTATCGCAGTTATTACTCAAGGCTATGTGGTTTGGAGGGGACATTCATTGGAATACCAAGGACTGTACGTTCCTATGGATCAATCTGTGAGCAAAGGAAAAGCAGCAGAAAGCTTCTTGCAGCAATAGGACACAGCACTGAATGGTGATGTTCAAATTGTCTGCAGTAGCCATGATGAATACGTCCATGAGCAAGTAGGATGTGCCATAGGCAGATGTGGCTTTAGGGTACTTTTATGTATAGAATTTATTTCAAGCTTGTGAAAGAAGTTACGGTGAGTTGGAAACACAGCAGGAAGGAAAAAAGCCTTTCCTCTAGATAGATACAGGAGGCAAAGGCTCTTCAATTAGAAGCAATGAAGTCCAACTGAGAAATTATTGCAGAAGCCATAGCTACTGCAAACAATATCCTATGTAGACAAATTCTTCTAGAATTACTTTACTTCTTTGAACAAAGCAAATGTTAAAATTACTCAAATGTTAAAAACAATACAAAACAAAACAAAACAAAACAAAACCAACAACAAACATTCTTGGAACAGAGCATACAAACTTTGGAAGAATATGAATGGTCTCAATCTAAGCCAGGACCAGTTAAATAAACAATATACTACTTTATTTTTTATGCAGATTCAGTTAGTACAAATCTAGCAATTCCTGTGAGGTGAGAGATGTGCAGTCCATTCACAAATATGAGTCTTTATCTGTAGGTGAAATAGAGATGGAAAGTGGCAGCACATTTTCTCAAAGAAAACACCATAGGATGATACTATTTGTCATAAGACTACAATCTCTCCCTATGGAATAACCCTCACTGATAAGTCATATAGAGTAATTTATAGCTATTGTAGACACCTTGCTTACCAAGAGAAAAATTTACTTACATTGAATAATGCATTACATTTGCAAAAATAAATTTAAGCAACATAAATTAATACAATAAAAATTAATCAAAAGCACTGCCATAAGATAGATCATAGAACAAATAATAAGTACAAATATTTTTAAAGCTAAGTTATGTCAGGTCAAAATCTTTGTACCTTAGTTGTTAAGCTTCCTTATGACTTGCTCAATCAATTGAAGACATCTCCTCATTTCTGCACGGCTGATCTCCCAGGAGCACAGGTTGTGTTGTTTGTCTTTAAGAAAACAATCTATTTTTTGGAAGTACTTTTTCAGTTTCAGCCTGTTGACTTCTTTTCTCTGAAGGAAGTGGGTCTGCTTCTTGATTATGCATGCCTCCAATTGCTCGATTTGCTGATAAAGTCCATTTTGGAATTGTTTGACAGCTGTCCCATCCCAAGCAGCTAGAGTCAGATTTTTGCTAAAGATACAGAAGATGTGTTGGAAGATCTCTTCAATGGCCACTTTGACAGACTCTTTCTGTCCAGGCTTTAGAACCTGCTCAGGAAATCTGAAGGACATTTTCTCTCTTAGACATTGTTGAGGAAACTTTCTGCCCATTTTATCCAAAAGTTGCAGGCTGTTCTTGATCACTTGTCTTTGCTGTAAAGGAAGGTGATTACACTGAAGACTGGAGATGGTGGTGGTGCACAACAGTATGAGGCCAATTTGTAGCAAGCTAAATGCATTCATGATAAAAACAAACTCTTATGTTCCTCCTTTCCTGAGAGACAGGCTGAGATTCTTTGAAGGTCATTTGTAGGCTCCTGTTTCTTCAAAATCTTGAAATTTAATTATTCTATAGGAGAAGTTTTCTTTCATCATTTTTTGGTTTTTAAGGTTTTCCCCCTTGTGTAGGCTTTTGACACTTACCACTTTCATTTTCTGCTTTATGACTTCATTGTCTTTTTTTTTGCCACTTTCTTTTTATTTCAGCTGGATATTAGAATGTTATATATATGTATATATCTTAGATAACCTATACCATCTCCCTCAGAAGTTCTACAGGAACTATAATGAGAATTTAAATGAAAAAATTACAGAAATATCCTTAGTTTCTTAATATTTTAGCAGAGGAAGAACATGTTGAAATAGAATAACATTCTCAGTGATGGGTCTGAAACCTATTAAATACTACTGCCATCTTGTCTCCTCAGCATGATTATACTTCCAAAATTCAGTTACACTTTATTATTATTTCTCTATTATTTTCATTCAGGGAAAATATTTTCTTTCTCCTCACCTTTATTTCTCTTGACCATTTAGACTCAAAGGACAGATACCATATCATTAAAATATGTGTGTGTGTGTGTGTGTATACATATAAATGGATATATGCTTTAATATACCTGTATGTCTTTTAATACATACACACTGCTAATGAAATGAGGCCTTGATTTTACTTAAGAGACTGTAAGTGCCATGGGAATGCAAATACTTTCATGGGAACAGGCTAGATACTTGGACAAAATACTTTTTTTCCCTTATGTAAGTAACTGAGCAATATTTAATACCAATGCCAGTAGGGCATGGGTCTGAATTCTGATGTTAAATGGCAAGAGAATGAATAGAGAAGACAAAAAATACTCTAAAATTGAGCCATTTTCTATCACTGGCCATATAGTAGAGAAGATTAGGATTGTCACAGTATACTGAGAAATCTAGCTCCTGTCTTTGATTTTATTTTGGTGAAAGCTAGTCTTAAACTATCATTTTGATGTTTCCACAACCTCTTGCACAAATATATATCATTGCAAAGGCAATTCTTTGCAGATAATTATGTCTTGATTAAGAGATCAGATAAACTGTTTTAGTCTGAGACCTGGCTCTGTATTTTTGTTCTGTTGTTGCACCCATTGCTATGTCGTTGGCTTCATTCCCAGTCTGGTAGTCACTCTGAGCAGATTTATGACACTATTTTAGGGCTTCCTTTGTGTTACCTACATAGGTATTTGGGAGGCTTTAAAAAGTCATAAATTAATCTGAGCACAGTTACTCACATGAGCGAACTCTTTGGATGCCCTGATGTTTCTTAAGAAACCTTGGACTGTATGTACTGCCAGTGTGAGGAAAAAGCAAATTGCCTATAACCTATGAAAGTATTAAATAAAAATAGTAAGAATAATCAGAGCAGGATATAAAATACATAACATGTGACCAAATCTTTTCACTTAGTGGGATTATTTATTACTTTGGAAAACCTAACCTGAAGGGCCTTATTGTGTTAGATACACAGCAGCTATAGAGATGTATCACTTTTGTAAAAATACACCTGTGCAAGGTAAACATATAACATATTGCAATCATCATGAAATCAATTAAAAATGTATTTAGCTCAAGAAAAATATTAAATACTGCTAAAGCTATTTCCATAAGTTACCCACAAGTATTTTTTCCAAGCTGTCATCATCGTACGAGCTTAATCCTTCTACTGATTTAAACAGATAAACTTCTTCACATCTCCCAGACACACAAGTTCTTTCTTTCCTCTTGCTAAATAATTTTTTACATGTTTCCCTTTCAAAGAAGAGCTGGAGATGCCATCCTGGATGTCAGAAATGTTACAGAAAGGAAAAACAGAAGATGGTCTCTTTCAGATTTCTTACAAAGACAGAGCTGATCCAGATGTTTTATTCTCTTGTCTGTGTTAACAGAGCAGTTGTCCATTCTTCCTCACTGAATAGTTACACTTCACTTAGTCCATCAGGCTTTCATGTTTTTAATTGTTTTTTTTTGTTTGTTTGTTTGTTGGGTTTGTTTTTTTATAACAACAAACTGCTCTTCCCCACTCAGCCAATTATTGCACAAAGCAAAGCAGAACAGTGGACTTGGGACAGTCTCCCCTAATCATCTATCCTTATTGCTTAATTCAGAAACAAACAGCTCATTAAGAGTAATGACTGGAAGAGGTAACTGAGTACTGCTCAGTATGCTCAGTATGAAGCTGCTGTTATTTCTCTGCCTGTGGAGAAGCACAGACCATTCTAACCTAGAATGAAAAGAGGAAATAAGTTTAGAAAGAGCAGCTGTATTTCCAAGTAAACCTTAGATCATTATTCTAGAAAGATCTGATCTTTGATTCCATGCAAGAAAGATATGCCCTTAAAGGGTCATCTAGCTATTTAGGTATTCATTACAGGAGTGTAAGAAAGACTAGAGCTAAACATAAGCACAATTTTATGTCTTTCTAACACCTTCAGAATTCCACAAATTGCTTCCCTAGTGGAAGTTTTAAATTTTATTTTACAATGCAACGGATGAATGAAATTAATACTCACTGTCCCTTATGACATGGGTTCTTTTACTCAGGTACCAGTGTAAGTGGTAAGTCTAAATTCAGCCTATGTATATGCTGGCAAATAGGGTACTGCAAGAGAGTATTTGTGCAAAATAGTGTGCTTTTGGCCTCTGATAACTACACCATGTTGAAACACTTCATCCAACCTTACACCAGCTACCACAAATCAAAATAACCAGTTCCTCTCAAATTTCATCTATTCCATCTATCAGTTTCTTCTCTCCCTTATAATTAAAACATACTGATTTTAACAAGTCAACATGCCACAAGGAAGCCCAAATAGGTTCAGTTTGCCACTGCACCAGACAGCTTCTGCCTCAGCTAGCTTGACACTGACCATGTTAAAAGAAAATAGTTTTTCTCCATTATACTTTCAATTACAGCTATAACCTGCCAGTCCTCACTCTTATACATCTAAGTTCCCTCTTTGTTACGACTTTTTTTGAAGCAAAAACTTCAAATACAGGCAAATTGGATTCTTTACTCTTATCCTAAGGCCATGTGGTTGGCTTAGTGCAAGCCTCCTGCTGTGATGGACAAAGGTAGAAGTGGCCAAAAGTGCCCATGTGCTTGTCTGAAATGGAGTAGTACAGGGTTAATACTACAGCTGAGACAGGGTTAATTTTCTCAAGAAGCTGGGAGGGGGCACAGCCAGGTTAGCTGACCTGAGCTAGCCAAGGGGATAATCATGCCCAGATAATCGATACTGTATGACGTCTTGCCCAGTGTATAGCCTGGGGGAACTGGCCAGGGTGGGAAGATTTTTTTGGTTCAATTTGGGGCTGAGCCAGTTCCGGATGGTGAGCATTTCACTGGGCATCACTCACTTTGTGGGCTCTTCTACTTGTGTTACTGTTGTTATAATTTCTCTTCTCCTTGTGTTGTTCTGTTAAACTCACCTTATCTCAACCCACAAGGTTTTTTCCTCCATTTTTTTCCCCAGTTCTCCTCCAGACCCCAGCAGAGGGGAAGGGCTGAGCGAAGTTCTTTGTTCCCGCCTGGGCTTAAACCATGACAAGACATGCAGCATTCATTTTTTAATAAGTAAATTAGTAAAAAATTACCAGACTATTCCAAGTGGCAGCTGCGTTCTTTAAATGGAGGATCTCTTACAATCACTTATTAATGAGAAAAACCACAGGTGCCCAAGCTAAAAATGCTTTTCAAACCCTTCTGTTTATCTCAAAAAGCCAGACATTTTCTAAGACAGGTTTGCATTATAACAGCGATTTTTATGAAATATAAACATTACAAAGGCAGCCTTGGAGAATACCATGACAAAGGTCATAAAAAATACTTGAGCATATAAAATAAAAATGGGAAAAATTAAAAACATATAATCCTGAAAATGAACATAAAATATGAGGCAAATACATAGGGAAATGGGCAAGCATGTGAGGCATTTGTAGTTTTACAGTTGCAGAGGCAAGAAGCAGAAGCTGGCTCAGACCCTTTTGACAGGTCAGGATAGGCAGGCATTGGTAGCATGCATTCAAATGCCAGGACTGGATTTCTCTCCTCTCTGGCATCACGCAGGTGATCAAACAGGACAGAGAGCCCTGAGGAAAAAAGTCCAAGGCAGTCGAACAGAGTAGTCTGCTGCTGGAGATGGAGGCCTGGGCTGGAGGACTAAGAAGAGGCCAGTGCAGAGGCAGGCTGCTGAGCAGAAACAGCTGGAAGAGGAAAGGGAACAAGATGCAGCCTCACAGGCAATTTAAAGGGACCATGTTCAGGAGATGGGGAAGGTAAGGTCCCTTTGGGGATCTTCTGTCCCACTCTCCCCCACCTGCCTCACTGCCACAAGCCCTCCTCTAGCTGGTCCTCAGCACCTGACATGGCCAGGGAGGTCTTGCCTTGTTGACTTTGCTGTGCTGGAAGCAAAGGCAGGATGGTGCCACAAGGCAGCTGCGGTGATGGGCAGGGCTGGAGCAAGGGTCCATGCTGCTACCTCCAGCAGTTGCAGGGTTGAGCAGGGAGGGTCAGAGCACTGAGGGTGCTCCTCCTGCCTGTGCCAGCAGTTTAGTATGGGGTCATCTTCCTTTTCTGATTTCTGTGCCCTCCTGTCTCATGCCTTGCGGGATTTGTGTGAAGATCTGTCAGCTGTGAGTAGAAGGGATGCACTTTTGCAAACTGGCCCTGGTTCTTGCCAAAATCCTCTTTCCTTTGGCACAATTGTCATGGTAAAGGCAGTGAGGGAAGAAGGGGAGTGTTCTTTCTCCCAGGAGGTAGCAGGAGAGTGCCTGCTAGTAGCAATGAGCACAAACGGGTGAGGAAAGATGAAAGGGGGAATGTGATGGTTCCTCTTCCCTCCTAAGTGAAGTCTCACCTTGGAATGCAATGAATAAAGGAGCCACAGGAATAAAGGTCCTTGTTAAAGTCTTGTCGTGATTTAACC